AACCCGTGCTTTGAAGTCCTGTCTGCTAATTTCAAAGTTGGTTCACCTCAAGAGTGGTTTCTGTTAATAGCTTCTTCTTGCGTTTGATCACATTTTCTGTTTCTTTGTAATTTTTTTTTATTCTTTTTAAATTATTGTTTACTTTTCATTTTCCCCCTCATTTTAAAATTATTTTTATGTTTCAATTACAGTTGGCATACATTATTAGTTTTAGGTGTACACTCCAGTGATTAGACATTACATAACTTAGTAAGTGATCATCCCAATAAATCTTGCACCCATTTGACACCATACATACTTATCAGACTATTATTGGTTGTATTTCCTGTGCTGTACTTTACATCCCCTTGATTATTCTGTAACTACCAATTTGTACTTCTTAATCCCTTCACCTTTTTCTCCATTCTCCCAAACCCCCTTCTATCTGATAATCATCAAAATGTTCTCTGTGAGTCGGTTTCTGTTCTGCTTGTTCATTTATTTTGTTTTTTAGATTCAGTTGTTGATTGATAAGTATTTATTGTTCATATTTTTTTTCTTTTTCTCCTCTTCTTCTCAAAGAACACCCTTTAACATTTCATATAATATTGGTTTGGTGGTGATGAACTCCTTTAGCTTTTTCTTGTCTGGGAAGTTCTTTTATCTGTCCTTTGATTCTAAATGATAGCTTTGCTGGGTATAGTAATCTTGGTTGTAGGTCCTTGCTTTTCATCACTTTGAATATTTCTTGCCAGTCCCTCTGGCCTGCAAAGTTTCTGTTGAGAAGTCGGCTGACAGTCTTATTGGAACTCCCTTGTAGGTAACTAACTGCTTTTCTCTTGCTGCTTCTAAGATTCTCTCTGTCTTTAAACTTTTGCATTTTAATTGTGATGTGTTTTGGTGTGGGCCTCTTTGGGTTCATCTTGTTTGGGACTCTCTGCGCTTCCTAGACTTGAATGTCTATTTTCTTAACCAAGTTAGGGAAGTTTTTTGTCATCATTTTTTCAGATAAGTTTTCAATTTCTTACTCTCTCTGTTCTCCTTCCAGCACCCCCATGATGCAAATATAGTTATGCTTGAAGTTGTCCCAGAGGCTCCTTACACTATCCTCATTTTATGTGATTCTTTTTTTTTTTGCTGTTCTTAGTGGGTATTTTTTGCTTCCCCATATTCCAGATTGCTGATTTGAGTCTCAGCTTCATCTACTCTACTGTTAATTCCCTGTACATTATTCTTCATTTCAGTTAGTGCATCCTTCATTTCTGACTGGTCCTTTTTTATGCTGCTGAGGTCCTCAGTAAGTTCCTTGAGCATCCTTATAGCCTGTGTATTGAATTCTGCATCTAGTAGATTGCTTGTCTCCATTTTGCTTAGGTGTTTGTTTTTCCTGGTGTTTTGTTCTGTTTTTTTCAATTGGGACATGTTTCTTTGTCTCCTCATTTTGGCTTCCTCCTTGTTTTTCTATGTATTAGGTAGAGCTGTTACATCTCCCAGGCGTGGTAGAGTGGCCTCATGTAGTAGGTGTTCTGTAGGGTCCAGGGGCACAACCTCCTCAATCACCCAAGCTGGGTACACTCTCCTCTTGTAGTTGAGCCTTGATTTCTGTTGGCACGTCAGTGGGAGGGATTTGCCCCCAGGCTGATCAGCTGCAAGGACTGGCTATGACCAGTGACCTCTGACCATCGCGGAGGATCAGCTGTGTAGGGGCCCACTCCACAGATCAGGACTTACTTCAGTGGCACTCTGATGCCTGCTGAGTCAACCCCTTGAGTGTGTCACTTGTGGAAGTAGTTGGATGGTGATGGCTTCGACGTGGTCTGAAGCTGTCCACTGGGTGGGCTGGCTGTGGGGCCTTCTGGGAAGTGCAGGCCAGGGTCAGCCATTGCCTGTGTTCTGTCCGGGGCCACCCAGCATGAGCTACAAAGTATCTGCAGATGACTGCTACTTGTGCTGGCTTGGAAATGCCCAGGCAAAGCCATGCTATGAACCAATGCTGGCTGCTGCTAGTGCCAAGCCTGGAGCCACTTAGCAAGAGGTGTGGGGCTCGCTAAGGCCAGATGCTGCTTATTTAAGAGGTTTTAGGAAAATCTAAAGGTCGTTCCTATGGGAAAGACATCAGAAACAGCTCGGTTGGGCCTGACAGTTGGGTACGATGAGGCCTCAGGGATTCACCAGGGGCAAACAGTGTGAGACTCAGACATGGTGCCGACCTGTGAGCCCTAGGGGGCTCAGTAGAGGAACAATGGCCTCCGGCAGCACCTCTGTCTGGGAGAAAGCTGCCCCTCCAGCTCGTGCCCTGATGCTGGACAGTTGAGTCCCTGGTGCCTTTCAAGCTACTGCCCCAGTGCTGAATGTCAGAGGGAGTGAGTCCGAGTGAGTCCGTGCGCGGGCCCTTTAACAGGAATTACCTGGGACTCCTGCAGCCTCAGTATCCCTCAGCCTCAGTCCCTGCTGGTTTTTACAGCCAGAAGTTATGGGGATTCTCTTCCTGGCACTGAGCCCTGGGCTGGGAGTCTGTGTGGGGCTGGGCTCCCTGGCTCCTCAAGGGGACCCCTGCCACGGCGCTATCCCTTCTGATTTTCTCTGCGCCTCCTACCATCTCGATGCGGCTGCTGCTTCAATTACCTCATCGCAGGACTTCCATTTAGCCAGCTTCCCAGCATTTGTGAATGGTGTGGTTCTGGGGTTTCATTGTAATTTTGATGTGGTTGTGGGAGAATTTGAGTACTGCGTTTACCTACGCCGCCACCTTGTCCGGAAGACTCCCATTTTCTGTAACATGCTGGACCTTATGAATAATACATTGTAGAGACTCAGTTTTTTATATTTCCTGAAGTGTGTTGATTTTTTTAAAATATGTTTTTATTGAATTTTTTTTTTTTTTAGAGAGAGAGGAAGGGAGGGAGAGATAGAAACATTGACGTGAGAGAGAAACATCTATATGCAACCCGGGCATGTGCCCTGACCGGGGATCGAACCGGGACCTCTCAGTTCCATAGGGCGGCGCTCAATCCACTGAGCCACACCAGCTGGCTGAAGTGTGTTGATTTGTATTCTAACAGTTAACGTGGCTGTTTTGAACTCCAAACTGGGTCTCCTTTGTAGTGGGCAGCAGCTAAAATTTCTGCTCAGTTCTTTTAATTTCTAGCTGCTGGTTTTTCATTGGTCCAGTGGGCTTTCCTGTACAAACACAGTTAAGGAGCTAGCCAAGGAATTGGGGGCAGTTTACATGTAGATTTCAGGGTGCATCCCTTTTGCAGCGCCCCCTTCAGGATTCTAGCTGCAGCCCACGTCGCACTGACACCTGAGGCCTGTATGGGCTGTGCAGGTTCGGAAGTGCCGCTGGCAGACCCCCGAGTCTCTTCACACAGCCTTCACCCCGACTCTGCCTGCTGCGGGTCACTCCCATGCCTTCACATACTTCCAGCACTTGCATTTCTACATGTCATCCACACTTAGAATTGCTCTCTGCGAGTACGTCAGTGTGCCCACGCCTGTGCTGGGACCGGAGCCCACCGCTCCTCTCATGTGGCCTAAGGCATCAGCCTCTGTCCCCGAAGCGGCATCAAAATTCAGGGCTCTGGCCCTGGCTGGTGCGGCTCAGTTGGTTGAGTGTCACCCTGTCACTGAGAGGCTGCTGGCTCCTGCCCGGTCAGGGTGCGCGCCGGGCGGTGGTCGGCTCCATCTTCAGTGGGAGGCGTGCAGGGAGCGTCCAGTTGATGTTTCTCTCTCTCTCTTCCTCTCCTTTCCCTTCTCTCTAAAATCAATACAAACATTTAAAAAGAAAGAAGACGGAGGGGTGCATAATGTTAGAAGGGAGCTGACGCTCACTGCCCGAAACTCCTGTGCTGCTTTTATGACCCCTGTCCCACATTGTTTCTTCTGTGCACCCCTTAAACGCGCCTCAGGGCTGCACCCATGCCCTTAGCTGTTCTCACTTCCTGTGCTCTCCTGGCCGAATCCTGCCTCCTCACCTACTCACTAACACTGTTACCCTGGGGTTAGCACTTACCTCTGCCTTCCTTGCTCTCATGTACCTAACCAGTCACCAAGTCCTACTGTGTCTTCTCTCTCCCTCTCCCTTGTCATTGCTCTCACCGTCTGTTGTCTCTACCACTGCCGAAACTTTCCTGCCTGAGCTCCCTCTGAGCGTTCCGACATGCAGCTTGTGCTGCTGCTTTAAATCTCTCCTGCTGGGTGAGACCTGAGCTGTTACTGTGGCCTCCAAAGCTCACTGTGGTTTTGCCTCCACCTACCTTTCTGCCTTTGCCTTGCGCTCTTCCCTGTGTTGTCCTTGGGGCTCCAGCCATACCAGTTTGCCTTTGCTCCCTGCAGGCAGCAGGCTGTTTCTCATGTTTGTGCTCTGCCCTTGGTGCTCATGCTGTCCTCCCTCCGGAGATGCCGTCGCAACCCTTCTGCTCTCCCTGCCTCCAGCCCTCTGGTCAGTTCTGCCTTTTAGACTTAGCTCAGGGACCACCTCCGGAAGCCTCTCCTGACTACTCTGCCCTCCCGAGCTAGCTGAGCTCTCCATTCTGTGTCTGTGATGCCCAGTACATGCTTTCACCGTCGCTGATGCTTTCGTTTGATCACTTGTCAAAATGCTGGCCTCCCATGAGTTCGCCAGGACAGGCGCTGCACCGCGCTTGCCCTCCTGGCGCAGCACCCAGTGTGAGGGCTCGCTGGTGCTGGCGCTGGTGCTGGCGCTGGCACTGGTGCTGCTGGTGCTGCTGCTGGTGCTGCTGCTGGTGCACCGGACGAGCAGGGTGCAAGATGTAGATGTCAGCGGAGCGTGAGCTGGGCCTCCAGAGGCAGGTGATGTGTCTGAGGCAGTTGGCGAAGACTGGGCAGAGTCTGGACAAGGACCACTAAGAGGACGAATTATATGTTTAGTCTTCTAGATTCTATCGCATATGCCTTAAATATTTCGCGTGCCTTATTCCTTATTAGTGTGAACTCTTCTCTTTTCCCAAAAATAAATGTCCAGTTCAGGGTTCTGGCTGATCGGTGTCTCTCGATTGCAGGTCCAATGGGTTTGAACAGAAGCGCTTCTCCAGGATCGCCAGCAAGAAGGCGGTGGAGGAGCTCGCCTACAAGTGGAGTGTGGAGGACATGTAACTGTCCCGGTGGGGTGCTGTGGGTTGTGGTAGAGGACAGAGGGCAGTCAGGTGTCCAGCTGTGACAGCTGTCTGTGCTGATAATCAGGGCCCACACACACCAGCAACTCTTTGATGTTAGTTCTGACCACTAGCATTTGAGAAGAAGAGTGTTCGAGACCCGACGTCAGGACCGAGGCCCTGCGGTTCCCCAGCTGCGCGGACGCTGGTGATTCGCTGGCTTCCGGAGAAGCATGGCTTCCCAGTGCCCAGGGTTTGTTTTCGGTTAGGTTTTTTAATAAATATACATTTATTTTTTTAAAAACACTTTCTGAACTGGGTATTCTGTTTTGGGAAGAATAAAGGCTAATATATTGAACCCCCAGGGATCATGGAGGTGATGGGTGGATTAATGTAGAAAAGCAGCATCGTTGTCTAAAACCGCTCTTATCTGGGGTTTCGCTTTCTGTGGTTTCAGTTACACGGGGTCAGACATGTCTGGAAATATTAAATGGAACATTCCAGAAACAACAAGTTTCAAATTACCCATTGTTTCGAGTAGCATGATGAAATCTTGCTGTCTCAGTCCTCGCCCAGGGTCTGAGTCCCTTGGTCCGGCGTCTCCGTGGTGTGTCCGGGAGCCGCCCAGCGGCCCGCAGCAGCCGTGTCAGCCGGCGGGCCGACCGCGGGCGCAGTGCTTCTGTTCGAGCCGCACTTCCGGCTGCTCGTGGCCCCGAAGCACGAGCAGTGATGCTGCCAGAGCAGCTGCGCATGCTCGCTTTGCGAGGAGGGTGTGCACGCGTGTGCAGAAGAGCGTGGTGTGCTGGGCGCTGGCGTGCATCCCCTGCAGACGGGCACTCCTGTGCCCGCAGAAGCTTTCACAGCGACGGAGCCCTCTCAGAGCGAGAGTCCGTGCTGAGCGGGACGAGGCGCAGACATGGCTACTCAGAGGCCTGGTGCAGGCGGTGTCACGAGAGGAGGGGAGGTGGGGTGATGCTCAGAAACTGGCTTGTTATATGGACGCAGATGTAGTTGGATCCCTATCTCAAAACATAAAACAAAGACATACCACAGTGATTGAAGACCTAAATGAAAGGCAAAATGCTAAAGCCAGTAAGAAAAAACAGGATGTCTTTGTGACCTTGGGGTGAGGATAGATTTGGTAAGATCCCCAAAGCACTATCCATAAGATTTGATGCTTTGACTGCTTCATAATGAAAGATTTCTAGTCAACGAAGTATCCTATAGGCAAGGCTACAGATGGGTATAGTTTAGAAGAAAGTATTTGTTCTGGAGAACAAGCGGCAGCACCCCATCGGATGAACTGATTGTGGGTGCGGTGCTGCTTAGTTTTTTTGCTTGTTTTTTATCCTCACTCAAGGATACCTTTCCATTGGTTTTTAGACAGAGTGGAAGGGAGGGAAGGAAGGCGAGAGAGAGAGAGAGAAAATTGATGTGAGAGAGACACGTTGATTGGTTGCTTCCCACATGACCCCGACCAGAGCCAGAGAGCGAACCTGCAGCTCAGGTACGCGTGCCCCTCACTGGAATCGACCTTCCGATCCAAGGGCCCACGCTCTGAGCGCGAGCCAAGCTGGCAGAGCAGCACTGCGTCGTTTTTAAGAATGTGCTTTGGCGCTCTACTGCCCGAGTCAGAATCCCAGCTGTGGCTCACGGAGTGCATGGCCTTGATAAGCCACTCACTTTCTCTGTGCGTTAGTGTCATCGTCTGTGAAATGGGGACACCAGTACTTAACTCATAGGTTTATTGTCAGCTTAGAACAGTGCCTGGCACATATCACGTGTCACTGAATTGTCATTGTCATTGTCTTCCCGATTAAGTGTTCATAGCCAGCTTCCAGGGTGGCCCCAATGACCCCTGACCCCTGCTATCCCAGCCCTGTGTGGTCCCTGCAGGGGTGTGTGACTGCTGGGATGTATGGGCAGCGTGCGACTTCCGAGCCTGAGTCATAGCAGACATTGGCACCTCTGCCTTGAGGACACGCACGCAGCCTCTGGAGAAGCCCGTGTGGAGAACAGGCCTGTGGCCACAGAGAGCGCCGGGCTACCAGCCATTCAGGTGAGCTCCGCGGGAGTGAGTGGGTCTTCCAGCTTCGTTCAAGCCTTGAAAGAGAGCAGCGGTGTCGGTGGGGGGAAGGGAGAGCCATCTGTAACAGAAACAAATTAATAAAAATAATTTAAAAGAAAAGAAGCCCTGGCCAGTGTGGGCCAGCTGGTTGAGTGCCATCCCGTACACCTAGAGGTGCCAGTTCGATCCCTGGTCAGGGCACATGCCCAGGTTCAGTCCCCGGTTGGGGTGTGTGCGGGAGGCAGCTGATTGATGTTTCTCACATCAGTGTTTCCCTCTCTCTCCCCCCGTCTCCTTTCCTCTCCAAAAAAAAAAAAAAAAAGGCAATATAAACATGTTTTAAAAAATGTGCATGGCCCTGGTCAACAGTGTGACCACAGTCAGAATCACCAGTTTCAAATTCTTAACCCAAAGGAACTGGGGTTACAGGGTTATTTTGTTAAAACCGCTTTATTGAGGTAGAATTCATATATTATACATTTTGCCCATTTAACGTGTACAGTTCCGTGGTCTTGAGGGATCACAGAGTTGTGCCACCATCACCACAATTTTAAAACATTTTGTTTACCCCGTGGGTACAAGAAACTGTGTCCATTAGCGGTCACTCGTCCCCTGTCCCCGTCCCCTAGTCCTAGGCAACCTCTAAGTTCCTCTCTGTGTAGATCTACCTATTGCAGACACTTCATGTCATGTGGGAATGGGACTCATATACTATGTAGCCTTCTGTGTCCGGCTCCTTTCAAGGTTGGCCCATGTTGTGTATGTATCAGTACTTCCTTCCTTTTTGTGGCTGGATAACATTCCCTTGTCTGGATAGACCACCTTTCACTCGTGCGTCAGCTGGTGGACATTTGAGTTGGTTCCGCTTTTTTTTTTTGTTTTTTTGTTTTTGTTTTTGTTTTTTTTATCCTCACCCGAGGACATTTTTTGTTCAGGTAGAGTGGGAGGAAGAGAGAGAGAGAGAGAGAGAAACATCGATGTGAAAGGGACACATCGAGTGGCTGCCACCCGCACGACCGACCAGGGCCGGGGACAAACTGCAACCAAGGTACATGCCCTTAGCGGGAACCGAACCCGGGTCTCTCAGGACCGCAGGCTGATGCTCTAACCGCTGAGCCAAACTGGCCAGGGCTGGTTCCGCTTTTTGACTGTTGTGAATAATGCTGCTAGGAGCATTTACGGACAAGTTTTTGCACGGACAAGTTTTCATTTTTCTTGGAGTAGAATTGCTTCTGGGTCATACGGTGACTCTATACTTAACTGTTTGCGGGACCACCCAACTTCCAAACCGGTGTCTGCGAGTTCGGTTCCTCACGGCCTTGCTGACTGGAGCCGTCATGGTGGAGTGGACTGGCGTCTCACTGTGGTTTTATTTGCATTTCACTACTGACTGTGGTCATACAAAATTATGACTAATTTTTGTCTTTAATCCTCACCCGAGGATATTTTTTCCCCATTTTTATCTTCAGATAGAGTGGGAGGGAGAGAGAGAAACATTGACGTGTGACAGACACACATCAATTGGTTGCCTCCCACACGGCAGCCAGAAACTGAACTGCAACCAAGGTACGTGCCCTTGACCGAATCGAACCCGTGACTCTTTGGTCCGCGGGCCAGTGCTCTAACCGCTGAGCCAAACTGGCCAGGGCTTTATGTATTTTCTCTACAGAAATGTTTATTCAAATCCTTTGCCCTTATTTTTATTGTTGTTAATCCTCACCTGAGCATATTTTTTCCATTGATTTTTAAAGAAAGTGGAAGGGAGAGGGAGGGAGGAAGGGAGGGAGAAATACAAAGAGAAAGAAACATTGATGTGAGAGAGAGACATCAATTGATTGCCTCCCACGTGTTCCTCCACCTGGGCTGGGGATTGACCTGCAACCCAGGTATGTGCCCTTGAGCAGGAATCAAACCCATGACCTTTTGGTGCGAGGGCCAACACTCGTACCACTGACCCACACCGGCCAGGGCTGCCTATTCCTTAACTGGGTTATTTGACATACACTTATGTAGAGTTCTTTATATATTCTAGGTTACCAGATATGTGGTGTACAGTAAATACTTTCTCTCATTCTATGTGTGTGAGGCTAATTTGAAATAATTTGTTACACAGCAGTAGATAATGAATGCATTAAATATGTACATACCTTACCTCATACCAGTTCCACCCTGGCTAGATCCTTCGAGGAGTATGCAGATTCACCAGGAGATATATAAAAGGATGTTTATTTAGTATCGTTTCGGCAGCAAGACGTTGGAAGCAACTTAGCTGTCCCTACAGGAAATGGTGAATAAAATGTGGTGCATGCTTATGATGGAATATTCTAAAAAGCAGTCAGATGCAACAGTTAGGGATTTAGTGACATGATAGACTCCAGGTGAGGAAAATAAGGAACAATGACATTTACAGCAAATATCAGCTAAGTAAATTAAACACACAGAGCAGCACTTGTTTAATTTAATTTTCAATTACATTTAACATTTAATATTATTCTCTCTCAGTTTCAGGTGTACAGCATAGTGGTTAGACAATCCTATACTTCACAAAGTGCTCCCCCTGGTGTTTGCAGTGCCCCCCTGGCACTATAGACAGTTATTACAATATAGTGATACCTCGGTTCTCGAACATAATTCGTTCCAGGAGGACGGTCGAGAACCGAATTGTTCGAGAACCGAAGCAATGAAACCAATAGGAAAGCGGACTCCACAAAGCGTGACTCTCTCTCTGCACTCACACTGATGACGCAAGCAAGGCGCGCTGGGCCGAATGAACGCCATTCGGCTCAACTTGGCTCATCTCGGAAGTTCGAGTTCCAAATATTTGTTCGGATTCCGAGACAAAAGTTTCTCGAATCTCCATTTGGTCGAAAACCGAGGCGTTCGAGAACCGAGGTATCACTGTATTACTGACCATATTCCCCATGCTGAACATGACATCCCCGTGACTGTATTGTGACTGCCAATTCGTAGTTCTTTTTTTTTTTTTTTTTTATCCTCACCCGAGGACATTTTTCCATTTTTTGTACAGACAGAGTGGGAGGGAGAGAGAGGAAGAGAGAGAGAGGGAAACATCGATGTGAAAGGGACACATCGAGTGGCTGCCACCCGCACGACCAACCAGGGCCGGGGACAAACTGCAACCAAGGTACATGCCCTTAGCGGGAACTGAACCCAGGTCTCTCCGGACCGCAGGCCGACGCTCTAA